TTTGAAACAGTTTCCTCCGCCTCTCCTTGCTGCATCTTCATGTGCGTCTGTGTTGTGGTTTGAGAGGGCGGCACTTGGTGATGGCGTTCCTGGGTCCGCGATTGTGATTGGTTGGGAGGAAGCAGTGACTAGCATAAACCTACATGCTAGGCTACAATGAGAAGGAAGGAAAACTGCGTTTCTTTTTTATCGAACTTTTATCGACCCCCTTTTTTTCTATTGCGCCACACGTCTATCGATCGATATATATCGTTATTGAATTATCGCCCAGCCCTAGTAAAACCTGATCCGGTTAGCTGCTGGAGTGGCAGCCTAGTGGTCAGGGCACAGACTTCCACTCTGGGTCTCTGAGCAAGACCCTTAACCCCACACTGCTCCCTGGCTGCCCCATTGTGGCAGCCCGCTGCTCCCCAGGGGGATGGGTTAAATGCAGATGTAAATTTCTCCAATGTGAGATCAATAAAGTTAAATTATTTTTATTAGAGCTATTGAGTGCAGTTATAAATGCTTTGGAATGTGTGAAACCATGAGACAAACAATCAAAGTAATTGTAAAAATGTGACGATTTGCTGAAAGAATAACCCACCAAGAGCTGTATGGAACCTAAAACTGAACAAATAATATAAACAGTTTACATTAAAAAAAAAAATCTTTTGCTTTCCTAACATTAATTTAAGTGCAAAATGAATGAACAACTCAGTTAAAAAATGCCTATTTGTATGTTGGTATAGTTGTTTATGTTACCTATTTAGGATCGTTTGGTTTATTTACTAACCTTCTTTGGACTAACAGGCTTTATGGGGACCGAAGGCTGGTCTCAGTGTGGCGGACCCCGATTTTTAACCTTAGAGGATTAGTTTAGAGGTTTGGTGTGAATTAAATTTCAACCAAATTTTTGGGAATATGCTGATGGTGGTTTGTGTAAATGTTAGGGTTAGGCATAAATGCAGTAACTAAAATTAATTTAAAGTCATCTGAAAAAGTATGTGCTCGAAAAACTACTTAAAGTATAAAAGCATGAAGTAACCTTTAAAAAAACAGCCAGATGCCACTATATGAATTGAAAGCTCGATTTTTCGACTATTTTGAACAAAATCATTGAGATGGGGCCAAGGATGAGGGAGGTCTTGTTGGTCTCTGTCTCCCAATACACTCTCGCCTGTGTCTGACCTTTCAGTCATTTCAACATCTTTTTCTGAATCCAACATTGTAGCATGGCATAGACAATTCACATTTAAAGTTTCAAGAACATCTGCTTGCTTCAGAGTATCTCCTTTAGCTAACCGATGAGTGTTTGCGTCATATGACTCATATGACACTAGTTTTCACTATATGTGGAAGGCGCCGGTGATCTGCATTGGATGGAGCACATGAGGTGAAATAAATACTTATAAACATTAAACTGAAGCCAAGAGTAACGTTTGTTTTTGAAAATGTAAGGAATAGAAAGTACAGATACTGGTGTGAAAATGTAATGAGTAGAAGTCAGAAGAAGGAAGAAAAATAAGTAATGGAGTAAAGTATAGATACCTAAAAACTGACTTCCCTGTTAAATAAAAATTTGTATGTATTGATGCAAGTCGAACACAGTGACGTCCACAAATAATTTTTGAATCAGGACCTATTTTGCATCATCTTGTCCATCTTGTACTGCATATCTGGATCATGTGTGTATATTCTGCCTCTTTTAACTCTATTATTCTATTACCAATAACTGGTTAGCTTTAAAAGCACTTTCAGTGTTTTTGGGTGCTTTATTTTTAAATGGTCCAAAGTGAATGTAAACTAAAGTAGTTTAGATACAGTTGTTTTATCTGTATATAGCTTTCATATACTGAAGCAGTCTTTATGTTCCTCTGGTAGGACCCCTCCCAGGCGCCACCGCTCCTCCTCCCTCTCTCCTGGAAGGCAGAAGGACAGACGTGACGATGAGCGGAAAGAGGGGAAGGATAAAGCCGGGAAGCCTATTCAGATCTCAGGTAACAACATCAATGCTGACAAAAGCAACATAAATGTGTCTGTTCAGTGACCTGGGAATCTGGAGCTTAAATGGCTATTTTTTTCTTCTGTTACAGCGGAGGATATGGAAGGCAAAACGGAGGAGGAAATTGAGATGATGAAATTGATGGGATTTGGTTCTTTTGATTCAACCAAGGTGGGTATGCAGCATAGCCAGAGGGGGGCACTCTACAGAAAAGCGTAGCAATACCAGAACATCTTAAAGTGCCACTACACAATTATGACTGTTACTAACTACTTAAAGGGATAGTTCGGTATTTTTGACATGAATCTGTATGGCATCCCCATCACCAGTGTCATGCAATCACACTGACTTACCCCTGGCAGCGTCCTGTGAGCAGAGTTCTCGTCCAGTTTTGGTCAAGCCGAAAGTAGTCCGGCAGGTTTGCTAGACCCAGCGAAATAAAACGTTTCTCTTCCCAAAACATTATGTGTTCTAAAGAGTGATATTTTTGCATCCCAAAAACGTTGTAGTGGAAAAAGTCCCACGTCGTTATCACTTGGTCCTATTTTCTCTCTATTCGTATCAGTGCGCGCCGTCATTCAGACAGCTAGGGCCTACTAACCTGACAACAGCCAGATGCATGTCTCCCTCCGCCCAGCTAGGAGCTAGGCGGAGGGAGACATGCATCTGGCTGTTGTTGGGCTCGCTGTCTGAATGACGGCGCGCACTGATACGAACAGAGAGAAAATAGGACCAAGTGATAACGACGTGTGACTTTTCCCACTACAACGTTTTTGGGATGCAAAAATATCACTCTTTTGAACACATAATGTTTTGGGAAGAGAAACGTTTTATTTCGCTGGGTCTAGCAAACCTGCCGGACTACTTTCGGCTTGACCAAAACTGGACGAGAACTCTGCTCACAGGACGCTGCCAGGGGTAAGTCAGTGTGATTGCATGACACTGGTGATGGGGATGCCATACAGATTCATGTCAAAAATACCGAACTATCCCTTTAACCAAAAAAAACATGCTTCCTAAAGGGCTGGTTATACTCCCACAGCAGTGTGTCGCAGTGAGGTTGTTGCAGATATTGAAGCGTGGTCTGTGCTATGTTATTCCACGCCAAAACGAAGGAGGGGCAGTCATGAACTAGCTTTGGGTCTAGATACGGCTGAGGTGGTGAGAAAGTGAGGACAAGTTTGTGCAACAATGGAGGGACATGAGGGCGAAAAAGTGCGGGGATCCAGGTGGAAAAAGGGTCCCAGCGTTCTCGCGCACCTCGCTCTTCTAGCTGGTCCTTCTTCACAAGTCGTTTTCTACAATGGCGGTCATACAAACAAAACAAGCCAGTAAAGTACCAAACAGTAGATACGCATATTGTAGAACGGATGTAGATTTGACTAATCAGGGGGCCTCCTGTCTGTGGTCTCCTACAATTTTGGTGAAGTGCAGCAGTGTGTCTGCGGCAGGGGCGGGGGCATATCTGCATTAAAGTAGGCAAATCATGTTTAAATTTCAAATCATTCTGGCTTAAACATGTATATAAATATACTCTTTATCCGACCATATTGTCCTAAAAGTTAGTATATATTCATTAAAAAATAAATAAATCCTATCTTAAAATCTGTGGGTTGTTTTTTTTTTTTCGTTATCTTATGCAGTCCAGTTAGTTATACATCAGCTTGTACACCTAAATTTATCCAATCATATATCAATAGTAATCTGTCAATCAAATTTTTGCGGCCATATCATCTTGATTCATATGTTGCAGCTAATATACGCAACGGTTGAAATAAGAATCAACTTACTTTACCATTGATATACATCCCAGTGTTCACGGGGATGGATGTCTGTGTCTTCAGCAGGAGTAGAGCTAACAAAACTTGCAGCGATGCGAAGCAAGGGCTCAAACATGGACGGCAGTAAGCCTTCTACACCAAACCAAGCTTCTGCCGCCCTGGCGTCCTCTTCCACAACATCTTAGTTCCCATTTTCCTCCTCTAAATAAAAAATGGATGATGGAGGAGACTCATCCACGACCTCCGACACAAAACTCCCCTCCTCTTGTATGTTTCCGCTGTCCATAGCGTTCCTTGACAGTGTCGTGGCTAAGTGCGACTTGGTTCCCATCGGGAACCTACTAGCACTACGTTGCTAACTGGTTAGCAAGATGCTTTTGACAAACCGGCCACAACCAAACATGCTTGCGAACCTTCTGCCACAACAATCTCGCCCCCTTGATAATCGACCAATCACATTCAGTCAGGCACCACTCGGGAGAGTTCGGAAATGTAACGTTGGAAACAGCTGATCCCTACGACTTTAACTGAGACACACACACGATGACCTGGTTTCTGAGTATAAATTAGCCTTAAAGCTAACATTAATGTTGTATTACACTGATAATGTTGCATTATTACACTCTAGTATCATTGGCAGTAAAGTTAGTTTTTGTTCCATAGGGGAAGAAAACGGATGGATCAGTTAATGCATATGCAGTCAACGTTACAATGAAGAGGAAATACAGGTACGTTTTCACATATACGATTTTTTTTTAATTTACCCTATCCTTGTTTGATGGAATGTTGCTGTATAGCACTGCAAAGAGAAAAAACAAAATCCCTCTGACATTAGGCCTTTCAAGTTTTTTTTTAGTCTATTACTCTAAACCTAAATGTTTTATTCATCTCTAGCTTTGGCTGTTTATTGCATGGTCTGCTGTTGAAGTAGCCAATCACATATGCAGTTCCAGCCCTCCTATTGATGACGTAACCTGCAAGTGCTGCAAAGAAAATGATGATGATGTAATGTTTGATGCTGCATTTATTTCCTCAGGCAGTACATGAACAGAAAAGGAGGATTTAACAGACCACTGGACTTCATCGCTTAAAGGTGTCAACAGCTTGTCTTTAACAAGCAGTTTTTTTTCCCCTGAAGAGGACAAGGACAATATAGATCTATCTCCTATTAAATTTATGTTATTATACAGCTTTTTTGTTTTTTGCTTTTACTGACCATATGTTGTAAATAGTTATACCTCCAGTCCTTCTCAGTTCAGAGCAGATGTGGTAATGGAGTATTTTGTTGTGGAAATTTGTTCTGTATTCTTAATAAATTTTAAAATGTTGACTATCTGTAAAAGTCTTTTTTTAGTCATCTAAAGCTTTATTCTTAAATACATCCTTAAAACTTTCTTCCCTTGCTTGTTTCTTCATTTATCTAAATCTAGGTCCCTATACTCTCATTGATTGTGTTTGGTTTAGCTTTCTTGCTAACTTTGCTCTTATGTTTTCTCACAATGAGTGACCCCTAATAATCCAGCCGTTGTTCTGTTTAATGTAGCTTTAAGTAGTTCTTCAATTCCAGATTTAAATAAACTTAAATATACCTAAAAAATAAAAATTGGCGTAAGCTATTTTTTTGTTCTGTTAGACACTGCTGCATAAATGTAAGATAGCAGATAAAAAGCCTGATAATATACCGTCATAGTTTAGAGGAGCTAATGGTATGTGCTATTTTTCATGTATTTGTATCGGACTGTCTGACTAACTTGTTGGGGATTTCACTCCTAATATTCTAACAGTTTGTGAAACCAGTAGACTGAATTTACAGTTATATCGCATCTGACTTTCATAAAGCTTGGTGTAAGTTATAAACGGAAAAATAAATATCCAACAATCAAGTTCTGTATTTGTCTCTGTTAAAAGCCCTGAGGAAAATTAATGTTAGCAGGTATTTAAAAGCAATATATTACCTGCGCAGCTGTAGTTCCAGAACTGCCGCCTGACAGGATGTGCATGTTCTTTAATTGCTGTAGTTCAGTAAAATAAATACAAACGTTTTTCTATACCATAAAGTTGACAGAATTTGTGTTGTTCCTACTTTGTATCTTAATCTAACTTTAAAACTGCATAAAACTTTGACAAACTGATTTTAAATACTACTAGGCACCACAGTTCTAGTTTAGAAAACAGGTAGCAGCATGGTGCTCATTAAACCAAGTGGCTCCCTGATACTGTTCTCCACTGAAGCGGCTCTTAATAGACATGTTTTCAGACAGTTTAATATGGAGTAGATCATGGCTCATCCTGTGCTTTAAAGGTTCTCAAACAAATGTCAGATTTATGTTTATATAAGTTGTGTCATCTCTTAACTTAGAAGCACCTTCTGAATTAAGGAAATTTATAATTTGAAGCTCTCAAAGACACTGTTCAAATAAACATTGGATTTATCTAATGGATTATGTATCAGTATTGGGGTAAATATGAATTAAAGACTGATTTTTATTTAAGGTCTGTATTTTGATATCCTTGTATCTGACCTTGGAAAATTTAAGTGAAAGTCCTTTGCTTTTGTTTTTAAGAATCATTTTATTTGAAGGAACTTGGTCCCTCCACAAAGGTTGGAAGAAGGAAAGGGTCTAAGGTTGAAACTAAAAGCTGTTTCGCCACATAAGAAAAATGATTACATAGCAGGCAATCAAGAACATAAAAAAATCCACGTAAGTAATAATGAACAATAAATAATTTAATGAAATTGTGTGCATGGTCTAAAGCAGATCTCCCTCTGGGTCTTCGTGATATTCCTTTTCCCAATCCTGTCATGAAAATAGATCATTCTGATCAAACTCTCCAAAGGGGTCAAACATGGATGTAAGCTGGATCGATTGGACGCAGTCATCCTTCAGTTCTTTGTTTTCCATTCGGTGTAGCTGTGTAAATTATTGCCAGGCTTTTCTCTTTAGCTTCTCTGTAATCAGTGTTCTGATTTGTCTGAACTCAAATTAAATGTCCTTACGAACCCAAGTTGCTGCATGATCTGCAAGATTTCCTTATTGTTGATTTAAAGCCTAATCTGGCGCTCATCCATTCTACAGAGGCGTAGCAATAACCAATGTACACTGGGGGATGACAAAAAGCAGATAGACGTGAGAAGCTCAGGGTCAGTCTACACTGTTCCAAAAGGAAAATGAAAAACCACAACATCCATATTTTGTAAATAAAGACTATAATTTCCTACAGCCTTTGCTAAAACATAGACACATATTTTTAAACATCCATGTCTTCTAAATTAAACATGTATTGGACAAAATTCTTTCAGGTTTGAGTTCTGGAGCAAACATCTTATTCATTGTCATTACTTTCCTACTTTTATCAACAGTAGTTCTGAATAAAATTCATATTTACATGTACTAATATCTACATTGAATGGACTACTTATTATTAAAGTAGTTATTTATCTCTGATTTCACTAAAGGCTCATAGATGACTTGCAGAAACATTGTTTACTCTTTACTCCATGAGACAAAATCTAGTTTTAAAAAGAGCATGATTTCTATATTTATCATCTTTAATGTTAGTGTACTGATGTGCACAGGGGTGGCAAATGATTGGCTAAGGGTGGGCCCCATCTAGCTCCGCCCCTGCTAATCTATCAAAAGGAGCACCAGCCGACGCATTCACTCATGTTGGGTGCCCACTTCTGTCACGTGACTGGAATAAACAATGATTTATTTGTATTACTTTGATTTAGAAAAATATCTTCCTAAGTAATGATGCAATCATTAAATTGAATAAATGTCACTAGTTAATGTGTTTGTAAGGTAGTGGTCTAGTTGTTTGATTTCCGTGTATCTAGTAAATAGATGGCGTCCTCTGGGTATTTCTTCGTCGCAAAAACGTTTACACTTATTTAAAAAAAAAAAATCATCATTTTAGCTCAAACCTGCAGCTGAATCTGTATAAAACTATTAAATCAATCGCGGACAAAATAAAGCAAACAACACCATGGGAGCCAATCAGCGCTGTCCAACGCTAAACAGCATGGCTCAAGGGGCGGGGCTACTGTGAAATTGTCATTTTAGTTTGGATCGTTCAGTCTTTTGCATCGAAACTCTGTCTGAAAGTATCCAATCAAGACACACCTCTGTGAGCGCAGGAAACAACGTCCATCTTGGCTCAGCACCTTCCATTGAACCCAACGAGATTTAGATCCAAAATGGCCCCCTAGTGGCGGCCTGTGCCAAAGCATTTTTTTCTAATATCGATGGTGGAGAAGACCAATAGGAGTCGGAGTTCTTGTTCTATTCGACCAATCACGTGTCAGCACACAGAGGCTTTGTCATACAGTTCAGTAGGTAGCTGTTGTCCACATTAACAAGGCACTATTTTGGAAGCACTTTGACAACTTGTCGCTGCTCGATATCATTCGGTTCGCCCGTTTTCAACGAGACGTCTGAGGCGTTCCGTTAAGCTATAAACCAGCACAGAACTAACCTACAAACTTTAAACAGGAACTCTGGCTTCATTTGAAGATTAGCTCCATTTTCATAGTGTTTTCCTGTTTGGCAGCTTCAGGCAACTACAGACATCAAAGTTTTTCTCCTCCTCTGGCTGACGCTTCCAAAAACACCGACATTAGTAAAACCTCAACGTCGTTTATTTGGCATTTTGATTTTTTTTTAAATTAATTTTTGTGCTAACGTTAGCCTACTTTTTATATTTCCTCCACACAAAGCTACAATCATCAAACATTTTCCTGTCCGGGGAAGTTTTCTTTTCTTGTTTTACAAACAAACTAAATAATATTGGAAGGACTTTTAAATATTTAAACGATTGTTTCACTCGAATCGGTTTTAAAGGAGTGTTTAGCAGACCAGAAGTGTTAGCCATCAGTAGCTAGCTTCCACCAAGCCCTTTAAATCATCATCTGAGTGCTCAGCAGGGAAGACAGCAGTTTTTAACTGATTGGTGCTTTACGCTGTTGGACCTTTAACTTTTAAATATACCAGAGTTAAACAGCTATTGTGACTCCAAAGGACTCAGCTTCGTCTTTTTTAAGTAAAAGCTGCGAGGAAAGCCAAAGCAGATCGTTGAAGGAGAATCTGGGGAAGGACCTGAGGCAGGTTGGATACACCTACGGAATCCCTGTTCGGATTGTTTTAATATTCCTGTTATTGTTGAAGATGGCGGCGATTGGAATGGTGCAGATGTTGATCGAAGCAGCTGAATACCTCGATCGCAGAGAAAGAGGTAAAGTATATCTGTCGTCTTGTTTCCTTTGTTGTTTTTTTCCTCCATAATAACTTGCAATGACAGTTCTTCCACAAGTGACTGGAAATAATGAGCATGATTTTCTAGTTGCCTAAATGCAACTGCAGCCCAGCTTTATTTTGCATGAAATGATGGGAATACCTTAAATATTGTTATTGTTTTTGGAGTTTGGACAGTGTGTTCTTTACCCTGTGCGTTGCTAATCTTCGCGATCCTGATAATGTCTTATTTCCTATAAATAATATGCATGGTGCAAAGACAACTGTGCAATCTAAATGAAAAGATAATAAATGCACAGCTAGCAGAGGCATTTCAACGTGCAGGAACACAATGTTTTTGTGAAGGCCCCTCCTTTCTTACTGTTGTTGTTAGCTAGTGGGGTTTACTGTCGTGCAGGATGACATCATTGTCCAAATTGGGGGGGTTGTACTGTATCAAGATAAGATATGAAATGAATAATTTAGATTTATTTATTTATTTGACAAGGACAAATAAATAATTCCTGCAAATGCACCAGAATTAGAAAAATAGCCAAAAGGCTATTTTTCATCTGTTGTCCCTGGACAGATCTTAAAATTGTCAACCTAAACCACAACAGTAACCTTTTTACAATGAAAAATACAAACATAAAAAGAAATAAAAACAGCTATATCTCTTAAATTCATTTAATTTATGAAAGGTTTGCATGCACCATAGCATAAAAAAAATGCATATTATATCTGGTTGGTTTCTTGCATCTTCCAGTCTTCCCCCTTTACAGGCTCTCATCATCCTGTCTGTGGCTGTTATAACCGCAGGTAAAAAAAGGCAAGTAACCACTTTGTTGTTTATCTGCTTCCAGAAGCTGAACATGGCTATGCCTCCATGCCGCCCTTCATCAGCAGTCGGGAGAGGGAAAGCTTGAAAAGGAAAAACAAGAGCAAGAAAAACATAAGTAGCAGGTAAATACTGTTCAGCTTCTTGTCCCGCAAACCAGTGCATGCTGGGTCTAGTTGCACTCTGATACTTGGAGAAACCTTTAATTTACTTTGAGAACAAGAAATGACATAGATTAGCTACCATTTTGTACAAAAAAGAAAGTATGGCAAGCATACAGTTTCTTTTATGCCCATATATGGCAAGTTGCTAAATGTTGTTATGGGATCCAGTCTGGCCATTGGATTCTCCACTTAAGTCAATTTAAGTTGATCTAATTTGGGTAAGTACTGATTGTTTATCATCTAGTCAGGTACCCACTCTCTCTAAGGAATGTTAAACTGGTTGGCACCAAGTGTTATTTTGCCATGACTTTATGCCTCATTAACAAATCACTAATAATCTGTCCATTAACACTACAGTGCAGTACATTGTAGCTAAATACCGGCTTTGTTGGACCAAGAGAAAAAAGGGAAAGGAGATCGGGGAAGTTGTCAAAAGAGGCTACCCAATGAGCAACATACCTGACTTCCATGTTACAGCTTACACAATCTCATTTGGACAATGTCAATGTTAATTTGCAATGTTGGTATTTAAAACCGTTTTAAGACTCTTTTGGTCTTAAGGTCATTTCAGCTAAGAATTAGTCATTTCTAAGAAGGATAAAATGCCTACTTACGGACAACCTGAAAAAGCCTTAATGAAAATAGGAGCTGCATTAAATTTACTTTAATTATACTAATACCATATTTTGGTCAGCCGGGATATCATGATAATCATGTGGGATAGTTGAAGCGCATAAAATGTTTTGACATTTTCGGTGTGCATCGTGCACATGAAGTTTGGTTCCTTTCCATGATTGTTCCAGGAAAATGGACAGAATGTTCTTTACCTGTTGAGCCTCATACAGAAAGCAGGGGTCAATCCAGGCTGTTTGATTGAACAAGAGAAACCATTGTTTAGAGATCAAAAGCTGTTTAGGAAGATTTACTTTTTAAACAAAATCCATACCTTTGTGCTCCTGTCAATTCTTTTATGAACCCCCACCCTCCTCGCCCTTTTTTTTTTCTCCAGTTTTGCTCACTTGAGTCCCAGCACAGAGATGTGTGGAATGCTGCATACAGACCATGCATCAGTTCAGACTTTAGGGACATTTTGTACACGTTCTAACAGCCTTCTCAGTCTGCTGTAAGCAGCTATGAACCAATTAAGAAATCTCTGTAGTAGGAGCTCAAAAGGACGAGTTGTTTCGGTCTGATCAAGGGTCATAGTCGGTCATATTTCATAAGACTCACCTGGCTCAGATCGGAATCAAAACCAAAATAGTTTACGAACTTGGGTATAAAATAAGAGACAGAGCTGTAATGGTAATATGTGGTTATGAAATACAGGTATGAATTAGGAGGTGAATGGAAGAGGAGCTTTTTATACAGCACTGTATGTTGACAGAAATGATGTGTTTAACTCAGGCTCCTATAGAGATCTGTTAGTTTACAGTAAATAAATGATTCATTTGCACAGGAAATCTTAGGGCTGAATAATGCAATGCTGGAATCCTGCCAGGTTCAGACAATTATGATTCAGCTTTTAAAAAACATAACGCTGCACTTAAAATTTTCATTAGCACCTGGAGTTATCTATAGAGAAGTCTTTGGATAGGTGACTACCCTGCCTGCACCTTATGCAGTCCAGGCTCTGTGTAAGGTTCTTTTCTTATTTTAGATGTTTTGATTAGAACCGAAACATATTCATTGTGATAAATTGATTATTGAAATAACTATCAAGCACACACACCATACACAAAGCAAAAATACAACTATAAACATTTACAAATATGAAATATAAAACATGTTTCCATCTTTGACCTGCTGATGGTGGCTGATTCCAATCTGTTGATGTATTTGGGGCCATCAGACAGAGACAATCTCTTGCTAAATTGAGCTGTCCTAGATAAGAATTAAACAAAGAAATACTCCACAGACTCTCCTCATTCCATACATTTTGAACCTTATTCAGTGGTACATACAGTGCCCCTGTATTCTGCACTGCAGAGGTAACTTGTTTTCCACATTCTTTGATTGCATATCAGCATTTGCTGGAGCTTGTTGGATGCAAATTGCTCTTGCCTAAAGCCTGAGGAGATGAGATCACAACTTTAAGTAACCTAATTTATATTTATAAATCTTTATTCCAAAAAGATTTAAATGTAGCTGCTTATTTAAGTGCTGGGATTGTTGCTATGCAGCAATTTAGAAAACATAAATGGCGTAAAAAGAATAAAGACTGTTCATTGGGTCATGTTTTGGCCTAGTGTGATAACTATATATGTGTCTGGGTTTGGTAGAGCTTTGACTGATGGTGACAAATTAGTTGTTCTTCCACTCCCACCGTGTTTTAAGAGACACGAGCCGTGCAGAGTGTCCCTTCACCTCAGATCATGTGTGAACACGTTTAGCAGGGCTGCATTTTTTTTTGGCAGGTCAAGCATAAAGCGTGTGAGTTTGTCTTCATTTCCAGTGATGCTTTATCCCCCAGAATTTCCGCTTCCCTCATTGTTGTTTATAGATTAGGTTCTGATGTTCTGGCTTGGCTTTCCTGTCTTCTCTGAGGACTTATTCAGCTCTTGCTCCTATTTAAAGGCCTAAGAGCCACGCTTGTTATTAAACAGAATTCTGCACTGCAGAGATGATTATTCCATATTAGGAAGACCTGCACTAGCTGCAGGAGAGAAGATCCTGGGAAAATAAGAGATTAATATCAGGGAAACTGGTTCAGTGATGGATCAGAAAGGTTTATTGTTTTCTTTTTTGCAGTGCAGTTAATACACGTTCAAATGTAGGGAAGTCAGAGAGGAGTCTTGGACCTGGATATAACCATCATGTGATTCCCTCCCAGTTTTCTGATGCATCCCGACTGCTTGGATGTGTGAATAATGGGGGAGGGGAGTCGCCATGTTTCTGCTGCCTACACATGCATGCATGTCACATGTAGTGATTGGCCCTCTTCCCTTTTTCTCTCCCTCTCCTCTTTTCCCCTCCATCTTCTCCTACCTTATTCTCTCACTTTTTGCTGGCTGTCTGTGGAGAAAATGAGATCCACTGGTGCACAATCAGAGTCCACCCCCCACCCTGCCTTCAGCTTCATACATGCTGCAACCAAACGCCATAGAGCTCATGCTGTTTGGATGGACGCCCAAACATAGCCATGTAGTGCTCAGCGCTGAGCGCATCGTTGTTTATGATGATGTTACTGACAGACGGACAGTTTCATTGGGAGCTGAGTCGAGAAATGAAGGAGCAGTTGAAATATTGTGCCATCAGTTTTGGTTTTCCAGTTCTCACCAGCCTGATGAATTGAAACCACCTCCGTTTAGAAATTAGAAATAAAACGGCAACACAGGCAGCAGGACGCGGCCCTGGCAGCCATGTCAGTTGGCATCATTGAGCCGTTTCTTTAGATTGTCATTGTTTTTTATTGACTTCCTCCATTTCATCGAATGCGGTATTACTGGAAGCCATAAACTAGACGTTACTGCTGCAGTCTTTCTTAATTGGCAGAATTACTTTGACATAGTTAGGATTCAGCTTCTTAATCTGTGTTTAAATGAATTGATAAAACATTTGGTTTAGTTATTTAGTGAGGCCTATACTTCCATCCAGATTCGTTTTTATTAAACAAAGTTGCAATCTAAAAAATTGTATTTCAGAGTCGTTTTTGGTTTGAGTTAAATTTTTAAATTTGGGAATGATGTGTTTTTCTGACATGAACCAGAAGCAGACTTTACTTCTGAGATGCAGTTTAGTTTTAATCTTAATTAGCTCATTTGTTTAAATTCCTTAAAATTATTGGTGTGAATCAAATTGGTAGAACAATCTCAGGATTGCTCTACTTGGATCTTGAAAAATATTTTGAACAAAAAACATGCGTCAATCATATATTTTTGAGGTTGATTTCCAATAATCCTAACATAATCATAAATAAATGTTATTTCTGGTACAAATTATACAAAACCAAGCTTTTTTACTGACCATCATATCTCAAATGTTAAAGTAAATAGCGTGTACCTTACAGCTGTTTTTCCTGTCCAGGGACACAGCTGCCCTGCGGCTCACTGATGGAGGCAAGGCTGCTGTACAGAGGCACCGCCGGGCCTTCTGGTCGCCACCATGCACATGATCACTAAGAATTAACAGATTTGTATTTTATTTACACACACATGACTAGAAATATTTGAGTTAAAGTTATGTGTTATATATTCATTTATTTAGTTTTACCATATAGTAATTTTCTGTTTTGACTACAGGCCATGTGAGGCTGTGTGTAGGGAGCCGTCTGTAATACACGTCTCTGCAGCTAAGTGCTGATCGATTACAACCCGTACCTTGCTAAACTGCAGCAACTTAGATAAGTAATGAGGTTGCTCAGCTGAACATGTGGAAAATTGGGAGGAACATACTGACTCTATAGTTGAAATAAATCCTCGAAGGCTTGAATCCCACTGGAAATGAAAGAATCAAAGAGGCTGACCTCTTTTTAAGATTAACGGTTAAAAAAAATCAGCTGTGCTGCTGCCATCAACACCTTTGTTTATAGATGTTGGTGATCAGCCTGTTTTTCAGTGTAGTCCTGTTTCTCTGCCTGTGACTGGCTGGATGTGCTCTCTTCATCCTCTGACATGGGAGCTGGCTCGGAGCTCGTCTGCCTGGCTGTGTGTTTCCTGGACGGGGCCGCCTTTTACAGCTGCTTTTTGTATCTCTGCTTCTGTCTCCTTGAACCCCAGTCGGCCTCGGCAGATGGCCGCTCACACTGAGCCTGGTTCTGCTGGAGGTTTCTTCCTGTTAAAAGGGAGTTTTTCCTCTCCACTGTCACTACAAGCATGCTTAGTGTGAGGGATTGCATTTGAGTTAATGAGTCGATGCAATCAGCTGGTTTTCCTTGGATAGAAACAGGGTAACCTTGGGTCATTAAAATCATTAAGTCTTTTTTTTTATTAAGACCTTAATTGGCATTAAAATCCATTAAAGCTTTAATAAAAAATATTTATGTAAACCATTTCATCAGATATATGTTACATGAGATATATAACATATTCTGCGTGTTTTCGCGTAACTGCGTCCGGTTGATTGTAAAGCCTATATAAATAAACTAAATTGAATTGAATTAAAATTAAAAACGAATCAACATTTGTCTATATTGCTTGAACCTTTCTTTGAATTAAACATTGTTTTCTTTCCCAAAGGGCTTGCTAGCATTTCCTAATCCAGCAGGTCTCCTGTCAAATATCTCCATACAGAGAGGCACGATTGGTGGGACCTGCCTTCACTGGTGCATTCACTGAACTTTAAAAAATCAGATTTTTTTACCCCCAAAAAAGCCAATTAAGAATCACCAAGCAGTCCACTGATCAAATTTTTAGTCCCCAACAGAATTTGCTATGCATCGTTTTCTGTTGGTTAATTGGTTGTAATGTTAATGTAAAGCTGCCTCAGTCTCTGAGCCAACTCAGTGACCCTCCTCTCTGACACCCAACTGAACTTGAACCTGATACTACTCGATCATGTCAGAAAAGGTCTCACCTAAATGTTTGTGCATTTGTTTTCCTAGTTTAGCAGCACTGTGATCTGAAACAGAGTATTTTAATTACTGGAGAACAACCAAAGTTGTGTTGGATGACTTGTACTGCAGTTGTGGAGGAGCAAACAGCACAGGAGAGAGGCAGGAGGTGTAACATCTTCCAGAGCCAGAAATCAAGCCTCAGTATGTAGGATCCCTTCACTGCCAGATCTGTTATGTCACCTGTGGCCGTCTGCCCTGCACAGGAATGCACACCGGCTGGAGGGGGCCAGGCGTGAAACAGAGCACCCTGAGTGGCTGCTTGAAACATGATGATGCCCACACAAACAGCTCTGTGCCACATCAGGAGAAGAAGCTTCACTTACACCCTGTAAACCTCATCCTGTGTAGCATAAAACCATACTTTTTAGGGGTTCTAATCAATTTAATTCAACAAAAAGACATTGGATGTGTCAAAGATCTGCCTGAGTATCAAACTGAGCATAAATCAGTCAGTCAGGGACCGCTTTGAGTCCAGCGCTGCTGAAAATGAGGAGGTTATTTTGGGAGTCGTGGTAGGACAGGGGATCAAGGGTCAGGTGGAGGTGGATGATCTTAACTCTTCGTTTCTCTGCGCTGTTTGTTCCCATTAAAAAAAAAAAAAAAAAAAAAAGGGTCAGATTTCCCTCCCCCGTTTGTGAGTTAATGCACCACTGCAATGCAGGAGCAATGCTGGCCATCAACACACACCTCCATCTCTCATTTTACCTTTGCTGTGCTTCACCCCACCCCCACACTGATCGGTACAACATGTGCTGGAGGATCTGGCAACATGAACAGGCTTAGAGGCATCTACACTTGCCTTCATTGTTTTGGTCACTGTCACTATGTACACGCTGTGGTTCTCGTTATCATAACATAGTTTCACATAATAAACTTCCCTCTTATTTAAATCCATTCTGATAAATCCTTTTGACTTCCGTTAGATGTAACCTTCCCCCATAGAACAGCACATTGCAGTGGATTTATCTTTTTTTAATATTTGGCTGTAAGTCATATTCAATCACTACAAATCCACAAGCAAGGTTCCACATACATGTCATGAAACATCATTTTTCTGTTTTACATAAAAAGTGAATGCAAAAAACCTCCAATAAACGGTGATCCTTGTTCTCACTGTTTACCATTGAGGTTCACTTTTTCCTTTAAATTCACCTTTAATGCTTCTAACATTTTTCTCTCCCTCGTTGTAGGGAAACTAAATGTTTTAGCTGCATTTAAGAAACTGCAATGATTCCAGGAACATCTGGCCTCCATGAAACTCAGGAAGCGGTTTATGACGAATACAAGGCCAGACTTGAATGACAACATTTCATCATCAAAGCTCTTCAGGAATCACCTGGAGCCACATAGTTATAGAAACCATCCAGGCTGGTCGTTGTATCCCATTAGGAGGATTTTGAAGTCCCAGTAATGCTTAGTGGAGATCTGCTGCATAATCCACTGTCTTTTCCAAAAAGATCACCTGCCAGCCTAGTAGCCCTTTACTGCTGTACGGCCTGAGACCTTCCTACACAACCTCTCTCATGTCAACTTTTTTAAGTGACAAGTGATAAGCAGAGCCGGGCAACTTATTAAGCATTTATTGATATATAAGATAAGAATATAGTGAGATGCTTTATGTTACGTTATAATTACACTCTAGACCCCCCAGTTCCCTTTTCTCTTCCTTCCTATTTAAGTCCAGGCTAAATCTCTCCCAACCCCCCCAGCGCTCTTTGTTTGTGGAGGATTATTATCAAATATCTGCCAGTATGTTATTTTTGAGCTATTTCTCATGAACATCTAGAGCAGTTTACTAATGAATGAGATCATGGGATATTAGTGTTAAGGCTTTGGTTTTAAGTTTACTTTTTCTTTCTCATTACTTTTTGAAAGAAAAGAATATTAATATTAATATATATATATATATATATANTCTGTTTTCTATAGGGCTTGATGATACGGACAAAAATAATATCTCAATATTTTCAATCATACAATATATATATATATATATATATATATATATATTGTATGATTGAAAATATTGAGATATTATTTTTGTCCGTATCATCAAGCCCTATAGAAAACAGAATCCAGCATTTAAATTTATGCAGTAGCTGCGAAAAATTCCTTGTTTTTGCAATATAATCACGATTTTTTTTTTTAATTATTACCAAATCACAGAGGCACTTGATTTATTGTCACCTCTAATTTTACGAGACGGTGACTTTCTCACTCCAGCATTTAAAGCGGGAATATGCCAACATCATATTTGATGTCACACAACTGGTAAGTGCGAGTTGCAGCTAGCGCACAGCTCCATTCTTGCAAGGCAGAAGGAAGCATGTTTTTAAAGCAATGGTTAAGGCCGCCCCGTCAAGACCCCCAGTTAATGATAATCCATGGCCATGAAAACAATGAAGCGCTGGAGCAAAACATGCATTTGCCTGCATTTAGTGCAGAGAAAATGTAAATAAAATTGGAATTACAATTTTGGTAGAAAAATGATTAAAAATCGTAATTGAAATGTCGGCCTATATTGTTTCTCTATACTGCTGCTCTTTACTCAAAAATTCTGATAAAATGGCCGATCTCCACTGGTCCCAGGGAGAGAGACATGCAACCATACACACACACACTCATATCTAAAGACAGTTTAAGCATAAGGAAGCAACCTGCAAAGATATTTAAAAATCTGAGCTAACAAGTTTCTCTAAATAGGAATTAAAGAACAACCTAAAACAAAACATCTTAAATAGGTTTTAATTGACCAGTTGATACGTTTGAACATGACATCCTTTCTTTTCCCTGTTTAGATCTGTGATGGCTGCCTTAAGCATTCAGAATTTTATGCAGAAACACGTTTTCTGATTTGTTGCTTAAAAACAAGTATTTCCTTGGTTTAAAATCAAATTGAGAAACTAGTTTGTGATAGTCTAAAGAGAGGGAGACCTTTTGACTATTGTGCAGGCGTAGATGTAAGAATACTCAGTTTTTCCTTCAATTTTTCTGGAATCTCTTTGTTGGCTTTGTTGACAACTCGTACACCCCCACACAGCCTTTTCTCTGGCACTCACTCCTCTGCAGTTAGGTCCCGGACTGCAGTGATGGCACATGAACAAGGCCCTGCTCACCCTGTATAATCACTGGTTCTGTTATTAGGTTTCATTTCTCTCACGTTGCTTTTTTTTTGTCTTGTTTACCCCTGCAGGTCTACACACAATGAGATGGAAAAGAACAGGTACGTAATAAAGTCTTCATTTCTGTGTGTGTGTCTTTGCTTCTCCTGAATTAGTGATCAGTGAAACATCATCACATGGCATCCAGATCACCCAGATACCCTCTAGCAGTCCTGAAAATACTTGATGATTTTGCAGTTAAACCCAGGATGCTGGTCTGTTCAGGTGCTTTTTCACTGAAATTTTCTAGTGTGATTTGTTGCTTTTTCAAGCTATGATATTTAACTGTTTCAAGTTAGTCACAGTATATAAAATCAATGCTGTACCAATGTACAGTGTCTTCAGACCCTTCAGTGTTTTTACACTAAACCCCTTTATGACAGCTAGATTTAATCCATTTTCTGTCACACTTATCCCAAGCGGGGTCACAAGGGGTGCTGGTGCCTATTTCCAGCTGTCTATGGGCGAGAGGCGGGGTACAACCTGGACAGGTCACCAGTCCATCGCACGGCAACAGAGAAACAGAACAAACAACCATTCACACACTCACACTCACACCTAAAGAGAATTTAGAAAAGCCAATTAACCTTGCAGTCATGTTTTGGGACTGTGGGAGGAAGCCAGAGTACCCGGAGAGAACCCACGCATGCTCAGGGAGAACACGCAAACTCCATACAGAAAGACGCCGAGCTTGGAATCCATCCTGGAACCTTTTTGCTGCAAGAAAGCAGTGCTACCCACTGAGCAGCCCACAGCTAGATACCATTTTTTTTCTTGAACAGCTAGATTAAATGTTTCTTATAATGGACAAACACAAGACGCTGCACAACTGAAGTACCAGGATTATTATTCATAAAGGATGTGGAATTAATTCAAATTCAGTCCCCTTTACTCCAAATAATATCTCGAACCTTTTGTCCTAAAAAAAAAAACAGTTAGTAGACTGTTTTTCTATATTTTGAAGACAGGTCTGTTGGACAATATTACAAAAAACATGCAGCATCATGATGACCGAGAATCACAACAGACAGGTTAAAGGGAAGATGTGGAAGACCTAAAAGCAAAGGTAGCTCATAAACCATATCTCAAATTGAAACATTTCACAGAGCTCTGCTTAGTCTTTCACCTGAATATGAAAAGATTACCGCTTCTTTGCAAACCTTGAAAAATATGGCTTTCCATCTAAACTAATGAACAGACAAATAGACCATCAATCAGACAAGCGGCCAATCAGTCGATGGTAACTCTGGAGGAGCTGCAGGGATCCTGAAATCATGTAAAAGAATGCCACGCCTTTAGTGGCAGAAAGAGAACCAAATTATAAATGGTCCCAGTTAAACTTGTAGGAGATGACAGAAAAATCTCCGGAAGAAAAGGTGTCCTGATCAGATGAAACTAAAGGGGATCTTTTGGGCCTCCATGCAAAATGCTGTGAGGTTTAAAGCTAACTCTGAATATCACCTCCAAAGACCTTCCTCACAGTCATACACGGTGATGGCAGCATAATGCTGTGGGGCTGCTTGTCCTCTAGTAACAGTTTTAATGTTTATGAGAAGATGTAGGGAGTCAATCACACACTGAAAAAACAATCTAGGAATAAGTAAAACATTTCTAAATTAAGTTTATTTACCCTTAATTTGAGTTGGTAAGTGCGATAGTTCGCAAATGGAATGAGTATTTTCAATCTTAAAATAAGATAATTCGATAAAATGCACATGAAATAAGACAATGCAATTGTGTTTTCTTGTTTTAAATGTACATTCTTTGTGTTCCATTGGCAAAATATCTCCTTTACCTCCTCAATCCAAGAACAAATGCACTTATTTTAAGAAAAAAAATGACCCATCCCTAGATCTCTTAAGCTGGTAGAGACCAGACAAAGAAAAAGAGGAAAAAGTATTCAACCAGGCTAGAATAACAATGAAAACCACACTTAGATACTTTATTCATAAAAAGGCTAAAGAAAATGTCTTTTCAGCTGCCGCATTACAATTATTCATTACTTAAGTTGGTCTGTCCCCGTAATATTCCACATCTACTAATATGGTGATAACTATTTCTTCAAAGAAATAAAGCTACATTTGTTTCCAGTTTCTTCTTGATAAAAGTATGAAGTAGACAGTTTGCTGGGAATGAAAAGCCTGGCTGGAGAAGGTCTTTGTTATCTTAATAAAACACCAAATCAGGTGTTGACCTGAGAAAGAACAAGGACTCTGTGTTTGCTCTCAGTCAAACAGCCCTTTCTCCCCCAGGATTGGTGGATATAGTAATGCCTTGGGCTCAGTGCTTCAGTAGGTTCCTGCCAACTGAGCCCCCATTTGTTCACCGCCTGACACTGAAAAGAATACATCAGGTGTCTGGTTAATCAGCTGACTGTATCTCCTCCGACTACCTCCTCAAATTCTGCAAAACAATTTTGACAATGACGCAATTGTTTTATTCAGTTTCTAGCAGAAGAAAGTTTAATTTCTACTTGTTTAAAGATCTCACAGTAAGAGCAGGACCCTCGTCACACTGGATCAGAAGTGCACAGTGCGATACATGAGAGGTTTTCCTTCAACTAGACGGAGGGTGCTCTGCTGCCAAACGGCATCTAGTATTGCTTTCATCACTTCCCATAAGGAAAGTTTTCAATGAAAATCCAGTAGAAAATATCTGTTAAGGGGAAGAACAACAATCTTGGCCATTTTATTCAACTTTCTGTAGGAGAGTGTTTCTCTTAACAGACTTTGTTTTATAAAGTTGCAACAGACAGCAGAAGACCAATAACTGATGGCCAGTGAAGCAGAGACTTACTAGTTACTTGATACCATAATATAACATTCAGGCTCATATGTAAGCTATGGCTAAGAAGCTAGGTTCCCACTCTTTTAGACCTGAGTTTTTAAAAAAACCTTGCCTAAAACTTGTTTATGAAAAACTTGACACTAGACTCAAGTCCCTTTAACGATCTTTATCTCATGTATCAGGAGTGAAGGCGAGCCTGTAGACCGCAGCTCTGACAGCTGATGAGCTGCATGCACATGTTTTCCTTTGGCAGACTCTGCCTAATCCAATAGCCAACAACATTCACAGACCAAAGGCTATTATTGGCCCTCAACTTTCTGTGCACCTTAGTTGATATTTTATGATTTTCAGCACTAAGGTCTCTGTCTGTCCTTGGCCTAAATTTTATGATTTTGAAAGAAGATAAGATATTCCACTGCCTCCAACATCGCATCTATTTGGCTAACTCCAACATTAACAAAACATTACCTGATTACTAAATAAAAGTACTTCTCAATTATTCATATTTATAGTTTGCACAGTTTTAAACATGTTGCAATTTTATGTGTTGCATTAAACATGAAAATATAAAAAGGTGATTCGATTGATTTCAGTCGTTGAATCGATTATCAGCCTGTTACTTTAACCCGATTTACTCCTAAAAAGTTGGCATCCGATTCAGTGGTTTAACATTTTCAGCTCAATACTTGGAACGTTTCCATGTCAGCAGCAAAATTGGAAGCTGGAATCAGACCCAACTTCAGCATCAGAAAAACAACTCTTAAGCTCAATAGGTTTGGTTTATTCACAGAGAGTCAGCTTGTGGTTTTTAAAGGGTTAAAATCACTATAAGGCCAGATTTAGTTAATCTGAATTAAAGAACTCATTACAGTTTTTCTTTATACAGGCCTTAGTGATGAAAGACGGCACTCAGGAAGTTTTGTGACATTAATATGAACAGAAATCTGAAAGGGATCTTTGAGCAGCAGCAGCAGCTCTGATGATAGGCTAAAAAGCTAAAGTTTTTCTCTGGGTGGGATTAAACTCCTCTGCACCGTAGCTTTTTTTGCACAATTTGGCTTTACACAACTGGCTCCCTACAGAAAATTTAAACAATGTCCTCATGAGAGCTTTTTTAACCTTTTTTTCTAGACGCTACCACCAACCAATTCTCTGCCAATAACCAGGAAGCCCAAGCAGTAGATTGGTTTGTTAGGGAAACCTTGTGAGTTCAGGCCTCCCTATACAGCTTCCATCAGTTCCAAACCTTAATCTGCACACAAGACACTGCAGCATGCCTGTGTGTGTGTGAGGGTGCCTGTTTTCTTCTGCGAAACTCGACTCCATTCACCAGAACAGTTTCTATTTGTCCACAAACGTCTGCATGCTGGCCATGGCCGCTGGCTTTGTGAGGTGAGAGGGTGAAAGTGAGGACAGCAAGGGGATTTATTACTGTTGGGATAGAGGGCTCCAGCTGACCTACATGTAGTTCTGAGCAGAAACTAAAACTATTTTAAGCTGCAGGGGACGACGCAGCCTGAGCTAGTAGCTACAGCAGTGTGAAGCTTCAGCTTTTGGTTAGCAGTTAGCTCTCTCTTTAGGCCGAGAGGTGCAGTTCCTCATAGATTTCACCTATTGACATACTAAACCTGAATAACCCGTTGCTGATAAAATGCAGAGTGCTGTGCACTTGTCGCCAGCCTGTGACCTGCGATGTTTGATGAGTCTGCCTCTCACTAGTGTTGTTTAGCAAACATTAGCTTGCCCTGTTGATCCCCTATTATGTCAGAGCAACCTGGGCGGAGACATTTCCATGTTATGTAATGGCCCTTTGGACCGAGTCAGCTGAGAAATGGCTGCTTGTTTTCAGCTGCTGACTGCAGCTTTGCATTTACAAAGGCTTCCCACACTGTGCATGCATAAAAATATAATTAAGTGAATCCTCTGTCTACATTTAAATCAGCTGTAGATCTCTCTGTGTTTGATTTGAATAACTCTCATGTTGCCAGCTTTCAGCCGATGGGAGTGAAGCAAAGCCCTTCACTAAACACTCACTATAAAGGAAGTCTGACGTAGACGGGCCCACTCGCTCAGGCAAGCACTCAGACACGTACACACTCCTGGAGCTGGAGGTGTGCATTGTATAACTGTGGGGTCAACGTACCCAACTAGCAGCTGCAAGGGATTTAAAGCAGGAAACACATCAGGGAGGGGAAATGTAAATGTGAACCGAGGAGGTTGCGTTAGTTACCTGGTCACCTGATTGCAAAGTTTTAGCCCTCATCTGTTTCCTGGTCTTCTTGTAGTACTGTTCAGCCTTTTATGCTCCTAAAGAGTCTATTATAGATACATATTTTATTAAGGAATTTAGTAACACTAAAAAGACCAACAAAAAGCCTTGTAATTAGGTTTTGTTAGGGTTGAAACTGTTCTCTCCAATTTCCCTCTTTTAGAGAAATATTAACAAAAATAGATATAGAAATAAAAGTTGTAGTTCTTGAATATTACCAATTTCTTATAGTAGTGAACTATTGAGATTAAAAATGGTCCATTTTCAAAAGCTCATGTAGCATTCAGCTCTAGACAAACTGAGGGTAAAAATGGCTGCTTTGGATTTTATCACCTAGTAGTTTGCTGCAATCTTCCTCATCTTCAGGAGCTTTATGCCTCCAGGACTCTTAATGTGCCTGACCCAACGTCGCTTCTGGTAGGAGGCTGAGGTCCGCCAGGACCAAAACCTCCCGCGACAAAAAAATTTCCTATACGACTTCAATTTTTTATTTATTTTTTATTATTTACGTACAGAGGCTTTTGGAAGGAGCCGTCACAGGTTCGAGTCCTGGTGATCTTTACTGCATGTCTTCCCCCTTCCTCTATGACCATTTTCTGTCTACCTAATCAAAGGCCATTGGAGCCTTTAAAAAACTTTCTATAGCTTAAAAATGAAAGTATTGATTTTCAACTACTTTTCTATGCATGCAGATAACCGAGCCTTGTCTGAATTTGTAATTTTTTTTATTTTGAAGATGCCAAAATTAAAGTTTTATATTGTGTTCGATTCCCATACCTGAACTCTAATCTTTACTGTCGGTAGCAAAGTTGTTACTGATTTCCACTGTTTAGCTGCAGCACCTTTAGCTGTTAGGAAGAACATCTCATTCTTTTTGACAGAACAGGAACAGGAAAATATTGCAACATGCAGCCGCTGCTGTCTCTGTCTTTTTCCTAAAGGAACTGAGTTCTTTTTTGTTTTGTTTGTTTTGTTTTTTGTTTTTTTTATTATTTAAGCCTTAGCATGGGAAAAATAAGAAAGGCAAGGCTCACAGAGATCTGCTACTTGTCACACAGCGGGGATAATTAGCTCACATAGATCATAAATCTGACACTGAAATATTCCCATGTTTTGATTTTCATTAAACCTAAAAAGGTAAATAAATACTCTTCTTTTGTTTATTTTTTTTTTGTAGGGAGTGCTGTATAAAAATAAACCTGTTAAATAACAAGTTTGCTCCTTTTTTCACTTTAAACTGACGAATGAACATCCTCCTACTGATGGTTCCACTTTTGGTGGGCTTTCATAAGTTGTGAGCATTGTGATGTCATGCTGTGTGGGTGTGGTTATTTCTGAACTACTTGCTCAAATTGATGTTCTGAAGCCATATATTATAGCAGTGTTTGTCTCTATGGAAACCAGCTCGTATTTGGGTAAAGTCATTGTGTTCAGTTTGTGCTGAACATCTATGACCAAATGTTAGTGGGGACGTGGATCTCGGCTTGATGTAAGGTTAACATGTGGTTTAATATGAACTTGCCCTACAATTACTGAATCATAACGAGGTGAATGTTTACCTCTGTTTCTGTCAGGAGACAACAAGTTGACAGTTTTTAACCTTCTTTATCGTATTTTGCTTTTTCCCTCTCCAGACGGGCACATCTACGGCTGTGCTTGGAGCGCTTGAAATCTCTCGTTCCTTTGGGACCAGATGCCAACAGGCACACCACCCTCAGCCTGCTGATGAAGGCCAAAGAACATATAAAGGTACATGTACTGTATCAAATAAAACAAAAAGTTAGTCTGAGGAGGATTATTTATAGTATTTGTGTTTAGATGAATGAAATGTTGTCCTTTCAGAGGTTAACTGATTTAACATTCAAATCTTTCTGGCTCCGTCTCAAACAGCTTGGCACATTTTGAGCCTCTGCTTAAAGAAATTATATTTAAATTTCAAATCATCCTGGCTTTAACATGTATATAAATATACTCTTTGTCAGACTATATTGTCCCAAAATGTAGAAAATTTCTATTATTAAAAAAAACCCAGTTTTAAAATTTTTTTTTTCTCCTTATCTTGTGCAGGCCAGTTAGTTATACATCAGCCTGAACACCTCAATTCAGCCAATCATATATCAACGGTCATCTGTCGATCAAATTTTTTTGGTCGTAGAATCTTGATCCATATATCGCAGCTAATATACGCAGCGGGTGAAATTAGAAATAAGTATCATTTACTTTACCATAGAGTAAATCCCCAGTGTTCACGGGGATGGACGTCTGTGTCTTCGGCAAGCAGAACTGGCAGCGTTGCGAGGCAAGGGCTCAAACATGGACGGCTGTAAGCCTTCTACACCAAACCAAGCTTCTGCCGCCCTGGCGTCCTCTTCCACAACAGCTTCGTTTCCGCTTTCCTCCTCTAAATAAAAAATGTATGACGGAGGAGACTCCTCCACGACCTCCGACACAAAACTCTCCTCCTCTTGCATGTTTCCACTGTCCATAGCGTTCCTTGATAGTGTCGTTTCTAAGTCACTAATTTAGTGCTACTTGGTCCCAATGGAATTTCCCATTGGGAACCTAGTAGCACTATGTAGCTAACTGGTTAGCAAGATGCTTCCGAGACACCGGCCACAATCAAACTTGTTTTTCGAACCTTCCGCCACAATAATCCCGCCCTCTTGATAAACGACCAATCACAATCACTTTATTTACTTTTGTAAAGTCCTGCACCACTCCGGAACAGCCATTACCTACGACTTAAAGTGCACTAATATTGGTTCTATGCGAACTTCTAATTAAGACAGCTGGATTTTATTTATGTTTGAATCTAAAACCAACTCTGAGCTGCTGTCCCTGCTGAGGAGAAACTTCCCCAGATCATGATGCTTCCTCCACCAGGGTTGGTTCAGAAGGATGTGCAGTGCTGGTTTCCTCTGCTCACTCTTTGCCAGGCCTGTCGGTTTAGGCAGACCCTCGTGTCTTCTGTTTTCTTTAAATTTTTTAAGCCGTTCTTCAATGTTCTTTATAAGTTGTCTGAGAACAGCTGCACTTTTACAGAGATTCAGTTACTCAACAGATGGACTCTGTTGTGATTGGGTGAATTCTTGATATTAATTCAGGAGTATCTGAGTCTGCTGATCAAAGCAAATGCAACACTTTCTGATGTTTTTTTTTTTCCTGTTCTAAAAAAATTTTAAAACCACGAATTATTGACCTTTTACTTTGTACAGGTGTGTTTTGGCCTAGTGCATGAGCTCCAATTAAACCACATTAAAGTGATTGTTAGAATGTGAAGAGCTCTGAAGTGAGAATAACAAAAGGACTCTGCCTCCCCTCTTCCCTGTGCAGCGGTTAGAGGAGAGCGACAGGAAAGCTCAGCACACTTTGGAACAGCTACAACGGGAACGGAGACACCTGAGGCGGCGCCTGGAGCAGCTGGGAGTGGAGAGGACCCGCATGGACAGCACCGGTTCTACCCGGTCCTCAGACAAGTCTGACTCTGACCAGGGTGAGCCTAAAAGACTTCAGTTTGGACACTTCTGTCTCCCGAATAATTTATGAATCCGTCCAACAACATTCATATTACTAAGATCTGACCTCAGTCATCTTATAATCAGCAGCTTCAGTTATTCTTAACAGGCAGGCGTTTGTATATGATTTCTTTATTCTTGAGTTGTAAACCTGTTTTTCTTCTCTGTTTTATAGAGGACCTGGATGTGGATGTGGAGGGGACGGACTACCTGCTGGGTGACCTGGAGTGGAGCACCAGCAGTGTGAGTGACTCAGGGGACGAGCGAGGCAGCCTGCGCAGCAGCTGCAGCGATGAGGGCTACTCTAGCGCCAGCCTGCAGCGCCTGCAGGACACTCAGGAGACGGCCAAGCAGCTGGCCTGCAGCCTATAAACAGCCTGGATCAGCGAGCCAATGGCCACCTCCCCTCAGTCAATAACCCGCCTTCTACCTGCTCAACCCCCCCACTTCACCCCCTAACCACCCTTAAAGGACTGACCAAGCCTCTTCTGCAGTAAAGTCTGACTTGCATTCAGACTGTAACGGCTCTGAGACTCCCACGCACATCCAGCTCTTCATCAGCGGTCAGTCTTAAGGGCGTCGCCCGCTCCACTCCGTGCCAATCAAACGAGCGGGTTTGTTTAGATGCCCCGCCCCTGTTATCCTTCTGTCCTCCAAAAACACAACTTTCAGCCAGAGAATGTTACCACACAATGTCCCACTGCCTCTTTTTCTATGCCTCAAGAGCCATGGGAAGCACTTATGAGATTCTTCTCTAGAATCCAACACAAACACACACCATCTCTCCTAGATGTGAGACGTCTCTTAAGTGACACAGGGCCCTTTTTTTGCCCTGCTCACCAGTACACGATCAGTGCACGGTACCTTGCACTTGAAATTGCTTTTGTAAACAAAACTGTCTTTTTTTTTTTTCAGACTCTTTCTCTTGTAAAGCCCTCCCCCCCTTCAGTGCTCCAGCAGCAGTGATGCTCCCAGATGAAGTGAATGTTTGTGAAACATGTCAGTCGTCGCTCTGTGGACACTAAACTAGACTGCGCACGGTGTTAAACTATCTGAGCCGGCAGCAATACCTTCTGCAGTAACGAAGCTTTAGCAGGCAGGCTAAGTTCCTGCCCGCACGTCCAAACTAAGGTACAGGATGAGATTGTGAAGGGGTTAGGGGATGGTTTTTCTCTCTGATGACGGTGGCGTTTTTAAAGTCCCCCCCCCCCTCATCCCTGTAAGGTGTGGATGGAGCTTCTTGGCCTGGCAGTGGGTGCGACGGCCTATAACAGCAGCCACCGGGCCTGATACTGGGATGATCAGCCAGGTGCTAGTACATTGTTGTACATTAATCCTTCACTGCCCGTTCAGCAGCTGTTAGCAGGAAGGGAAAAGCCGTTCTACCTAAAGACTCAAGCACATTCCACAATATATCTATTAGAGACACAGGTGAGACTGAAACAGATTATTTTTTGAAAGTAGGTAATTCACACTTCTTTTCTTTAAGGGGGGGGGTCAGTTTGATTCAGGGCAGGTTATAAGAGGGAACCAGGTAATGTAGTCAGAGGCCCAAAGCTTTTTGCGTTTTCTCCTCTAAAAAGCACTAAACAGTTAAACCACAGAAACCCCTTTGCCTTGCCACATAGCTATTTATTATTTCTGGAGAAATGTACACCTTTTAATGTAAATAGTTCTCAGAAAGAGCTCTATGTCTATCACCAAATGTATTTATTAGATATAAATATATAGATGAGTCTATAGAAAAATATTTAGTCATAGCTTATGTTCTTTTTGTGTGTTTTATTGAGAGTTTCCTACAACGTAGTTGGTTTGCACAGCAAAGTCAATCCTTAGAATATTTAGAAAAGTCTCTTGTGCCTCGAGGCGTTTGTGTCTGTTCAATTTGGCGCGATGCCCCTAGGGCAGTTTCATCGTGCTTCATTTTCTTTATTGTCATTTATAAAACCCGTCCTGTCCTCTTATTGGTGTGGGAGATGATGGAACAAATATACTGTAGAAAAATGTGAATTAAAAAGTTTTAAAAGCATTAGAGATGCACCGATCAGAGCTGCTACAGATTTGCGGTTTTATTCGGAGTTTTATCTGCTCATTTCAGTGTATTCCTTTTAGTTTTTGCTGAAAAAGATGAATTAAGGTTCAGATTGTCTGAAAGTACTTCCCCATTGCGACATTTTCCTCTTTAAGAACAAAATGGCAGCCTCTCCTATTGGACTCTGTACCAAACGGATGTCGATTTGTTTATTCCCTCAATGTTATTTTTTTATACCTGCTTTCAGTGCATCGAGTGGATCCTGTTTAAAACTTTACATTTCAGGTTGGAAATCCTTTTTTTCACTACTAAAAACGTGAAGCTCTAGGCTGCTTTTTAAAAAGTAAAAACAACTGATTTTACATTTAAGTTTGAAAAAAAATCTTTAATCCTAAATTGGGTGTACATTATTATCGTTGACAAACCTATCTTAGGACAATCGGAATACAAACTATTGCAAGGGGAAAAAAAACACATTTTATTTCAGTGATCCATTCACCTTATCAAGCACTTAGATAATTACTTGAGGCAAATGGTCAATTTGTGTGGATGAAAGGGAGACAAAGATATTTGTTTACAAAACAAAATGGAAGTAGGGAGGGAGAAACTATGGGGCTTTGGTACAGAATATAGCTACAAGTAGATGGATCAACCTGAAGCCGTGAAAAAAGAAGAAAATTGCATCCAATCCCCATGCTGCTAGATTTTATTTTTAGGCAGAAATATTTTCAGATCAGTCAAGCTTTGATCCTCTTCAGATTAAAAGAAAATTTGGCAGATTCTGAGCTTTGACCAACGGACCGGTGCATCTCTAAAGATGGAAACTTGCTGGTCAAACTCTAGGAGGCAGCGATCCAATCCCCTCCCCAAGCCGTCTGCATCGCCCCGCACATAGAAAGCTCGGAGAACGCAGCGGATGGCTTTGGTATTGGTTCCGAAGTCACAGCGGGGGGAGGGGCTCAAAACTATCTGAATGTACACCGACTCTGCAGTGCAGCGGCGCAGCGCCAAAGAAAGCTCCCCGCTCATGCATGTTCTACTAATAAAGCTCAGCTAAAGCCTTAAGATGGTACACCAATGGACAAAAAAGAAGAAAAAAAAAACACAAATAAAATGACAAAAAAAAAAAACTAAAATCTGAAAAAATCTAGGTTAGGATTGTTTGGTCTGTGAGTGTGGCATGCTGCTTACTTTAGTCATGTTCAACCCTTTTAAAAACGGAGAGGAACTGTGGAGCCACGATGTCAGGACAATAAATCAGGAGTAGGTGTGAGTGGACAGGTGTGTTCACCAAAATGCAATCCTTTTGGCGTGTGTGTGTGTTTACTTCGTCACTGTCTTCAGAGAGAATTTTATTTAGGGGTGGGTGGGGGCAAAATAAAAAAAAAAAAAACCTTTTTAGGAATATTCTGACTCCTGTTTACTATTTGAATGATCATCCCCCCCTTCCCTCCCTTTTGTCCTCCACACATAACCTTTGTGCTTTCCACCAGTCTGCCACGGTCTTTTCTTGATGTCTCCATTAGTTTGCAGCACGGCTCCCTCTCTCCCTCACACGATGCATCCCTTCCCCCACCCCAACATGACACCACCGGTGCTCTCAGCATCTGCCTTAAGAAGCCGGTGTTGAATCTCTCGAAGAACAAGCCTACAGTGAGACCAGTCGTTTAAGCTTCAGGGAAACTCCTTCCCTGCATCCAAGGTGGCTAACCATGCCTTAAAACGGTAACAAAAGTACGACCCAACACAAGTAAAGTCACGTGTGAGTGCTGGTATGAAACAGAAAGGGATCATAGTGCTCATTCCTTTTCATCGTGACACACTTGATGCATCACACAAGCATTACACGCAGGAAACGCAGACACACACCGTGTCAAAGCTCCATCAACATCATCTGCTACCTTTCACTTCAGAAAGGTCCCATGTCTATTTCCTGGGTAAGAAGATGATCTCTGCACTTTTTAGAAATTGGAAAAGTTGAATTTTTCTCTTCTACATAAATCACTTATGTTGGGTCACAAAATGCCCTCTGACAATGAATTGTGGAGCAGCAGTTTATATTTACCAGTGATAATAAAGAAACTATTTGAAACCCTTGTTTACCCACCAGTGCCTCTGTGTTTTTTACAGCAATAAACCTTCGTTTATGTCCTTAATAGGTTGAGTAAAGGTTCAGGAACCCATACTACTTGTTTATAATGGTCCTAAAATATATGGGTGACAACACTCGTTAAGGACAGATGAATACAGCAGAAACCGGATTACAAAGGGGAGTTTTAAAAGTTGATATATAAACTGAATTTCTGGAACAAAGCAGAGATTTTCACTTTTTAAAATGTTCAAATGAAATCATAGGTTCTTACAAAAGTAATGTATTTCAGTTTTATTACATTACAGCCACAAACGACGCTGTGCTTTATTGGACAGACCAACAGAATTATTTTTAAAGTCAAAAGGATAGGATATGGATAACATTATTAAGATGTGTGACGGGACCTTTCTTCCTAAGTTCTCAGTATAATCCAGAGCAACCAGTTGTCCACTGAAGCCACAGTACCTGTAAAACATTTATGCTTACTCAATTTGCAAGATAAAAACCAACAGATTTACATATTAGTGATCAAAAGAACAATATTAGACCCGTTTGAAAGATTCTCATCAGTATGTCCACTTTGACCATTTGTTCTGTTTCAAAGTAATCTGTTTACCAAATCACAGATTTGTAGGGCTCCTCTATCTGACTCCAGCTCCGTAATCGCTGTTAAACATGGAGGTGGAAAAAGGAAGGGGATTGAGCATCCTTAAAAGGGTCTCAAACCTCATCTTGATGTGTTTAACTACAGAGGGGTGAGGAAAGTCTTTCCGCTTTTTAAAATTTCCAAACTAGATCTCATTGTTGGTTTCAATAAAAAAAATTTGATATTGTTTCAGTCCATGCCAAGGATTGAACTTAAAAAGCCAACTTGCATGTAGTTGTTAAGATGCTTGTGCAACCTGAATAAAAACTCAGCATCTTGATCTATTCCTGCTGGCAATAATGCCAGTAATCGATCAGCAATTAAATATTCAGTCCTATAATGTTTAAAGTAATTCCCTTTCTCTCAAAGTTCTTGTCTCAATATGTTTAAAATACTTTCAAAATCAATGTCATTTCATCACTCAAAGCTTTAGAAAAGGCACATTTCTAGTAGATGAGAAATCTGTATTTAAATTTCGATACCTTCAGCACAGGGTGGCTGAAAGACAGGATCTCCCTTAAAAAGAGGCCCTTGGGTGGCCATTAAACATTATTCTACATTTTCTAAACAATGGTAAAACTTTCACAGTTTACTTTGGATTAAGATCCAACAGTAAACCCATAAGTGAAATCCAAAGTGAATGCAAAGGAAGTCACTGCTTGCAGAATTAGGGTTAAATGGACCCAGACGACACATTTACTGTAAACGATCAGACGCCAAAATGATCGTGATGTAAAACTGTTTGCATTATCTAGTGTTAATATTTAAGCTTTAAGGGCATTTTCTTTGGAATGGGTCCTGCTCTGACTCGTTATTATCTTGACTTAATTAGAAACTTTCTTTGGATTTTTTCAGCTATGTTTGATCAGGCTGCCATCTGTCACAGGCAGAATATTCCACTGTGATAAAAGCCACACAGAACCAGACTTTGAAATGTCTAAACTAATTATTTCTGGAAATGAAGGATACATAGGAGCAGTTTGAACATGACTATAACTCAAAATACCTGCAAACGGCTCAATTTAAATAGTCCAGGAAGATATATTTACTTTAGATCTCAATATCTCCCTACTGAAGTTTTAACAAATCTTGCTTTTTAAATAAGAAAAAAAACAACTTTATGGTTCTTATTTTATCAGCAGTACAAACCCAGCCAGGACCAACATTCTTCACATGCAAGGTCGGAAAGCTGTGCAAAAGTTATCCCTATGTCTTAAAAGTGCCACACCAACAGTTTTTGTTGTTACCATGAGTTTGAACCTGGGTTCACACAGTGGAATAAGCTTACTAACCTAACTAGATCTCACCTATGTTGTCATTTCTTGAAGGAGTCGTCACAAATTCTGCCCAAGGCATGTTTTCTCTCTCTGCTGGGAGATCAGTTCAGTGATTTGTAAAGTTTAAATATTAAACTGATCCAAGACAAACCACTTATTGCCTTCTGTCAGCGGCGCTCATAATATACATTTTACATTGCAAAAACTGATCTTAACAAGGAAAATATGTCTTAAGTGCATTTGCAGGTAAATACAATGATCTGCCAAAGTGACGAATATTTTTGCCCTGATAGTAATATAATAATAATAATAATATATGATGCATGAAATAAGATGTAGAGTTGTTTTTAACTGCAAACCACCTTATTCTTTAAATGGTCATGCTTATCTGCTGAGATCTGGGAAAAATTAACTTAATTAAAAAAATACTGACTTACTTAGATTTAGTGCAGTGAATGTTTCCAATACAGCGGCCATAAGAAAGGCCAGGACCTTACAGGCACTGTCCCCAGTTGGTCCCTCCCTAGAACCACCCAAGATTACTAATCTGAAACTGCAGATTATTTGAATTAATGCATCAAAATCCAGCAGAATTTCTCTGCATTCGTTTAGACATAAAATCAATCAGTGGAATGCAGCTTAACATTAGCATTTCTGTTGAATGTATTGACATAGCCTTATTTAAAGAGAATGTGCTTAAATAAAAGGTTAATGAAAGCATTTTATGAGCAAATGTATCCGGCTTCCTTTAGCTCCTCCTGTGGCCTCATTTGTCTGATTTGTTTCGTCTGAAAGGTGACCCAGAAGCTTTGGCATCACCCGCCTGTACCAACCTCACCAATGATGCATTGAACACCACTCGTACAATCCTGCATTATTTTCCACCCACTACACAATTAAAGTTTAATTTAGTTTAGTAGGGAGTTTAGTTTACTGTTTTAGTTACCTGGGTATTTTGTTCATTTTCAGCTTGACCTCATAGTTTAGGCTAACAGAATTTCAGGACCAGTCATGGTATTCAATGGATCAATAAGCCTTCGGCCATTTATCAACAAAACACTTTGGTATGATAATCTATAGAGGACTACTAATATGCTAACACCATCTTCTCTTTATCTGAAACAAATATGGCACAGGCAGAGTAAACTTCATGGATTACATAATTAGAACACATAACTCTGCCACCTAGTGTCAGGGTTCTGCAGTTGGAGGTTTTTATATTGCTTTCTTATTTTTTCTTTTTGTATTATTAAAACCTATATTAAAGATTTTCTGTCTGGGTTGATAATAATTAAATTAAATTCAGTTTATTTATATAGCGCCAAATTCACAACACATGTCATCTCAAGGTACTTTACAGTTCAACCAGATCATCCAGTCAAATTGATTCAAAGTTTTTTATCTAAGGAAAACCAGTTGATTGCATCGACTCATTGACTCAAATACA